CTCCTTCCCCTCTTTCTTCCCTTTATCCCTCCCTTTACTCCTCGTCGGAAAATATCGGACGTTGTCATCGCTGTTCAGTGTCAAGATCATCCCCGGGTGCTCCGTGCGACGTAGTGGCGATTCGTGCGAGATTGTCACTCGGGGTTGCAGCGACGTCACCTTCCGTTCGCCGTCCTCCTTCTCCTCTTCCTCCTTCTCGTTGGCTACGTCGCCTCGGATTACATCATGACAGATACGACACCACCGAAGGCAGCGTGAGTATGTGCCGCGCTGACTAGCGCGCGGCGATCATTTTGATCTAATTCGATCGGTGCGACAAATCGCGCGGACACTCTCTCGTCGATAATACGAGGGGATCTTCCCCTGGCAGATGTATTCGATACATCCGAATCACAAATATTTCTTTCTTTCTTTCTTTCGAATCTCACATTCTTAACTCAGGTCATTAACTTAAGCTCCTTCTCAACTTACTTTTACCGATAAAAGTGTCTCTTGATTTATCGATAAAAGTGACTTAGAAGCCACACGATTAGCTATATTTAAGGCACTTTTATCGATAAAAGTGAGTCTAAAAAATATGAGATAATATCTTTATTCTCAAAAGGGTATTACTCCCAAAAATTCAAATAAACGACGAAAACTTATTATCGAAAAATCAGTTAAAATATAAATCTTTTATCAGTGAAGGATTCTTGCTTTTCTTTGGTATTTCTCGAAAATTTCAATATTAATACATTATTTCTAATATTCTTTCAAAATAAGAAATTACGCAAAATTTTTATACGGCTGAATCGTTTGATCAATATTTTATTTATTTTTCTGTGTTATATATTTTTTTTTTGGTATCGTTACTTCTTCCCAATTCTTTACTTACACTTTCGCGATAAATGTAATAACATTTTGAATGATCGTACATTCGCACTATTAAATAATTAATAATTGCGTGACTCTCGAAATCTCATCTCGAAATTTCAAATCTTCGTTCTATCGATCGTTTTTGTCAATGATTAATCTGGGACGTTTCCTCGTTTCGTCCTCGTTCATATCACTAACTACGTTGAAATTTTCTTGGATTGGCGCGTAATAATTGTAATCGTAAACGAAACGCATTCGATTCGTTCGCATGCGAATCAGGCGCGTTTCCCGAGCGACGTTCGCGACGATCCGAGTTACGCGCGCGCGACACAAACGCGTGGCGGTCGGAAAACAGGTGCGATGACGTAGGTCCTTACGGGGTGAAAGGTGCCGTGTGCTAAAATTCGCGACTGGAGGTAAACAAAAACGCTCGATTTCCCGAAATCCGTCCTGCCCCTCGCCCGCCGTCGGAGTTATTATCATCGCGTATCCGCCACGCGTTTCCGATCGGCGCCGCGCCAGTATATAAAACACGTGGCCAGGATCCTCGCGCTAAAGTGGAGCTATTTTTTCGATGTTTATTGAAGATCCCGGCCTGGAAATAAACCGTGTGCGCGCCGAACTGGCCGGTGTACCAACGTGGAACGTCGGAGGCGAAGTCGTCTGCCGCTTCGTCCTTGCCGCTCGCCGTCTCGCGCGATTGTATTCCGTCTGTTCTAAACTCGTATCGTCGACACTTCAACAATGTCTTTTTATTGTTATACTGTCTATAGAAAGTATCTTACAACTTGAGTATAATAACTTGAGTATAATAATAGATTTTTCAGTCGAACCGAAATTGCCGTAATTAGAGACAATACTAATTTAGACAATTGAAATGTGTATTTAAATTTTTCTGATAAGAATATTTTATTTTTTCTATGTAAATTTTTTCTTTTCCTCGAAATTTTGATTTATTAAAATATCTAAATAAATGTAATAATTAAATATTTATATTTAATGTAATACTTTAAAAATAAAGTTTGTTTATTATTATACGAATAATATCATATGTATATATACACATATATATAAAATATATTGTGTATAAATTTTTGTCACAAAATGTTTGACTACTATTGGTAATAATCAAACACAACTCCGCGTTTTTTTTTCTCAATCAACATGGGTCGCCATTTATCATCGCCTGCAAGTTTTTCATAAGAGAGCGCGAAGAAATGTAACATGTGATGCGTATTCCGCTTTGTCGGGAGTTTTTTTATAAATTATGATTAATGGCGCGGTCTTCCCTCTTCATCACGTAATCATTATGACAAGCGGTTCAAACGATCCCCCTCCGCGTTAAACACGCATTTATGCATTCTCGCGTCGGCACAGTCGTGTAACGGCCTTTTGTCGTTGTCGGCGCGGACATGTCCGCGAAGTATTTAGGTTTCCCGCGTTGTGCGAGCCACGTCCTCGTGTCATGGCAGTCACGTCGATGAATTCCTCGAAAAAAAAATGCCTCCTCACGGAAGATCATAGATAAACCCGTGTACGTTCCGATCGGAGGGTCACTCGTCCGCTATGGGCAAAATAGAAATCGAAAAAGGTCGTCCGATTGATCGATCGACTGAATTCAAACAATTTTTCCAATGTAACAAAAACATGAGTGAAAATTTGTCAATTTCTCTAAAAGAATTTTTGAAAAATTCACCTACATTCTCTGTTCGGTGTTCGCATCCGCGCAAATTGTCGGGGTTAATCTCGTTTGTAAATCTATTGGAATCATCTACGAAAGTTCATTTATTTATACGGAACATCTGTAAATTCTGCGTGACGCAAAAATATTTTTGTAAATATTGAAGTGGTCAATTTGAGTTACGAAACAATTCGAGGAATACTCTAACTAACTGAATTTCAAAGATGCAAGTGGATACAGAAACGTAACACATTTATGTCAGCAGAAATATTATTATATAAACGCTTTCTGGAATGTAAATTGTTATTATTATCATATAAAATGTATCCCAATTCTCTTTGTTCACGCCCGCATGAATTCCTCGGGAAGATCAAGCATTTTGAGAATCTGACATAGATCAAGGTGGATTAACATGGAATCCTTTCGTTTGAATCAGTGGGAGTACTATTTACGAAAGCGTGGGAAAAGTAGTGAACATTCCGGATTGCACGTGGCGAGAAATGATTTTCCAGGCACGTGGTGTATAGCAATCACGCTTTTCGAAGAATTTTGCCTATCATTGTTATTAGCTTTTTTTATTTTACGAAGTTTCAATGTTAGTACAATTATAATAAATATTTATAAGCTTTTCTGTTTAACTGAAATATATATAACGCATTTTTATAATAAACTCAAAAAGGCAAATACATTTTTGACTTTCGATTTTTAAGACTTCTTAACGGTTAAATTCGAGCAAAAATCGAAAACAAAAAGAATTAATAAAAAAGAAACTGACCATATAATATTTAAAGATGTAAATGTTATTATGTTATCAAAAAAATTGTTTTTTCTTTATTAACTTTTTTAATTGTTTTCCATCCTTAATTTGCTCGAATTTGGCCGTTAACTCCTTCATCATACCGTCTTGCAAACAACGGATCGATATTATTTTGTTTATTTTAATTTAATTAAAATATTTAATTTGACATATCTGCATTAATTTTTAGAAACAAGACGAACTTGAAAAAGTATTTCCATGTACTGTCTATATAATATTCAACAGTTTTACATATCTTGCTGCTGTTGTATATGCATGCTCGTATTCTTAATTACGGACGACCGCCGTCCACGACGAAATGTAATTCGAGTCGTCACTTTAAAACAGTTTGCACGCATTCCGGGGAGGGAAAGAGCCGTCTTATTAGCGTCATTAAGCGAACACGTGCGGCCGTATCAAGCGCCGGCATTCTTTCGCTTCGACAGAGAAAGACGTTACTTATAAAACACTGTCGCGGATTCCCCTCTTTCTGCAGATAAATCTCAAATTCACGACGCTGAAGCTTCGTTTACTTTGCGATTATATAGTGAAATTGAAGGCGCGAGACGACGAAGGGGATACCTCTGGAAAAAAGGCTCGAGCAAGAATATTGGGTAAATATGATGACATATCGATGATGATATTCGACATAATTAATATCGATATGTTGATATTAAATTAATAAAATCCTTTTAATTAACATCTTTAATCGTTATCTTTAATGCCTCTATGGTATTTATTAATAATTTTTGAATAGCACTGAAATTATGATAGAAACAGCTTGACATAATTATTTCGATTTCGGATAAATCACAATATATAATCGGAAAGAATTTATTTCTATGAAGTCAAACGCGATCGAAATTCATCCTTCCTAAGGAACGTCGCATTTAAACCTATAAGACGCAAGGTTGAAGAACTTGTAAACCGGTTTAGGCTCTTATTCTCTGGAGTCAGGGTAGTTTTTTAGTTACTATTATTAGAGACGCACATGTGGCCGTGTTAAGCCATTTGTCGACGACGACGGAACAGCGGCGAGAGTGTCATTTAATAAACGATAAATCATAAATGTACGCACGTCGGCGACGCGGATACCGTTCAATTTTCTCAAATTCACCGGTTTCGGTCCTACGTTCTTGATCAAAATCACACGTTGAACGAGATATCATATTCCACGGGAAATGGCGTGATCTCCGAGATTCGAGTCTCATTATTCTCCACAAAGGTTGTCCCTTATTCGAGGATCGCGAACGCGAATCTGTCTCAGTCGAGATTTCTCCTTCTCGCAAGCGGAGCTATTGCCTCATCGCCAACGGCAACGACGCTCGTGCTGCCCGTAATCGTTTTCGAGGCGTGCAATTGGCATCCTAATCACGGAGAGATGAGCTCGACGGCGGAAGATTGCATTTGCGACGAGCGATGAGCAGCCGAGGGTCCCACGAGAGCGAGCGAGTCCCGCGAGCGGATCGGCGCGAGCGTCGCGTTGCATTCTGATCGCGCGTATTTGGTCATACGTGCGTGCCCGCGGGAGAGATATGACATGTGAATGATTTGAAACGGGTGAGGAGAGAGGTTTTACGCAAGACAGGTATACACGAAAAAAGGACATTAAATATTCTCTAACTCTTGTAGAGGAGTGGAAATTGAGCTCGTGCAATTATTCGAGTTGTTTGCCACTCTAGAAGAATTAAAAATCACTTCTATAGCACATTCAGGAATTTTTAGAATAATGTTTCATTTTATAGGATTTAGATTAGAGAGAATAAGTAAGAATATTATGTTTTTGAAAATTATAATCTTGATTTGATGTAAGTATTATTTTTGCTCACAATTCAAGACAATTAAAATCTTCTATATGAAGACTATTCTAGAATATTCTTGCTTATACATGAGAATATCTATACATACTTGCGTCAAATACAAATTCAATCAAATCAAGATTAAAGTTTTTCTGAGAAAATTCTGGAATATTTTTGTTTATATATGAGAATATATAGTCTTGATTTAAGATTAACTTTTTTCTATGTATCACACGACGCGTCTCTTCGTCTTCCTTCCCTCCGTCTTCGTTTCGAACAACGCTCGGCTTTCTGCGCGTTGCGAGCTGCGCGAAAAAAGGCCTCTTTCGTCGAATCTGCTGTTAAACTGCTGTTAGATAACGAAAGAAGTTTGCGTGCTCCTTTGGCCGATATATATGCATTTATAGTCGCAAAAATAATACGTACGTGCTTATTTCGGTCGACTGACGAATGCTGATCTTAATGGATACTCGAAACTTTTTTCTTAATTCTTAGTCTTAGTTTTTATATTGAAGATCGCGTGAATTCTTTAGTCGAACAATATTAATTTTGCATAATTATGTATATTTAATATAATATAATTATATGATATAATTATAATTGTACATAAAGTATAATTATAATTATAATTATAATTGTAATAACTTTAATCATTTTCATCACAATGTCTACAAGGTAAATCAAATCGCCGACTAAATTGTCTCTGAATATAACATAAACTATTTATCGTTGGAACATTAATTATGCGTCGTATCATTTGACAAAATTTATATGCCGAATGTTGCGAAATGAATGAAACGGAAGCTTTGTACTATACTTGCTCCTGATTCTCAACGGTGTGCCAAAAGGTATAATAAACATAGAAATACTTGTCATTCGATATTCATAGTTAAGATACAATCGCAGCTCGAAATTTCACCACGGCGAAATATTCGTCGCGGTAAGGAGGGAAGGGAGGGATATTTCCAGCGTATTAATTGCAGGGATTAATTTCGTCGGATATATATAGACATACGTTGATAAATGCAGTTTGCAGCACATGAAATCCGTAGACTGTAAAAGTTTTCCGCACCCCGGCACCCACACACTGCCGCGCGCGCGCGCACACACACGCGCGCCACACACACACACACACACACACACACACACACACACACACACACGACGGAGAGGCGTGCGCACGTACACGCGGTTTTACACCCACACACAATGGCAATGGCATACACGCTCGCTCGTGCGCGGAAACGAAGGCGCGTAGACGGCCGGCCGTGAGCTATGACGTAGATGGATCGCGATTCAACGGCGGATGTAATTACATCGCGAATGAGCCGGAAGTGGAAACGGTCCGAGCGCTTTTGCGGCCTAAAGAGCGACTTTATACGCTCGAATTACGCCGATCGACCGCGATCGCCGTCGCAGCCTCTCGGTATTGCGTTTGCACAACGCGGACACAATCTCGCGGAGATGAGACGCGAGAGTTTGTCGTTAGGCGTCACGCGCGAATGGGAGGACAATGAGCGGCTCTCCGACTCGAAAGTTTTGTCGATTTTAAAGGAAAGGAACCTCGAACGTAGAAAGAAACAATAACCCGACTAGTCTGATTTAAATAAATTAATTAAAGATATGTCATATTGCCAAAGAGATCGTATTTTATGCTGCGTGGTGATTAAAATTCTTCCATTTGATTCATTCATTTATATTCTCTTATACGTTACAGAGCTTGTTATATCTAAAATTATTCTGTTTAATTTTAATTCCTGAATATCTCAAAAATATAAAATAGACATTAAGATAAAGCAAATTATTCTTTACACTGTGTTTTCTAATTTAGACTTTCTCACACTTACGGATTTATTATACGCGTATCTTAATTACTGAACAAAATTAAATACAATTATTGAAAGAAATTAGTTCAAGAATTAAATCATGATTATAGGTACATATAAAATGAAAATAATTTATATACAAATCAAATTAAAACGTGTTGAAGAAAGGAAAAGGAAATGATTCATTAACGATCAATCGCGTCCATGAGAGTAAAAGCAGAAGTGTCTAATCATCTTTAATCGTGCGTGACGATGATCGCAGGTAATGCCGAGGGAATCTTGTCCCGGGTTGCTGTTGACCCTGGTGTCGGTATTCGTCGGCCTGTGCGAGTCCTCCGCCGCCGGCGGGGCCGCGACATCCGGCGCTCAGCAGCCACAGCCGCAGCCGCAACAGCAGCCGCAGCCGCAGCAGCAACATCCGGTTTGCAAGCCCGGCTTGGAATTCTGGTCCGCCGAACGCGCCTCGTGCTGGCCGTGCACCCGATGCGCCCCCGACTTCACCCTGAGCCCCTGTGCGATTCACAAGGATGCGACCTGCGGCCCGCTGTCAGCGCTTGAGCTCGACTGGTCCTTTCTGTCGTCCGCCAGAAAGAAGCCCTCGCAAGCTGACGGTAACGATGGGACCGTCACTCCGAACATGTTTTTACGGCTACCCGAGGAAAGGACGAAGGAACGGCCTTTCATGGAAGCCGGCAATCTCGTCGACTTCGGTCGCGAGAGCGACGGAAGCTTGGACGACGAGGAGCCGGTCTCCGCCTCGCAGGAATCAAAAGTAATTTTGTATTGTAGAACTTTAAGTCTTTTTTTCTTCATCTCTTCTGATTTCAATTTTAATTTTAGTCTTGACTTTAATCGTTTATTTTATAATTGATATAAAACTGGGAGCGATGACCGGAAGAAGATTTTGTGATTAATTCAGCTTCATAAGATATGATATCAAAGACGTGCGTTCGGAAAAAACTTATCTATCTTTGAATTGCATTAATCAAAGTTATTCGGAAATTAATTAATAAGATCATTAAACTTATTGAAAGAGATCCCATTAATAAGCGTGAAACGATAAGCGTGTGTTTCGAGTCGGCGAAAGCTGGCACTGCCTGATTTTCGCCTCTGTTTGTTATGCGGCATACAGTCGTTTCACCAAAGTCAGTTGCATTTCTCGTCGTATCTCGAAAGTAGATAAGAGATAAAAACTTATTGTGTCGAATAATGTTTACTATACGAGAGAGAGAGAGAGAGAGAGAGAGAGAGAGAGACAGTAATTAGTAGGTTTAGACGTACCAGACGACTAATAGAAACGTAAATAAAAGAAAACTAAAAAATTAAAAATAAAGTAATTAACAAAATAAAGTAAATTTTAAATTTTAATAATAAAATCTATTACTATATATATATATATATATATATATATATATATATATATATATATTTTAGCGAGCGTGGTACAGTAAAGAGCGCATTGGTCTAATATGCTAAAAATCTCGGATTCGATTCCCGGCAAAATATTTTCGTACGCTCATGTCTCCTCTCGACGGTCTGAACTACGAGAATATTCTTGCCTACAGAACCTCCTCAAAAAAAAAAGCTTGCCGTTTCGGAACCGGCGTTTAAAATGTAGGCTCCATATACCTGTCCCATCACCTGCGTACGCATCACAGGCATATGAGAGTGAGATAGAGCAGGCTCTAAAAGCCTATATAGAAAAATTACAATCTGTACCACTATTTGAATAGATAGATGAAGTATGTACTGATTACTGATCAAGCTCTCTGAAGTCAAGCTCTCAAGTCCACTATGTTTTTCAATCCTTATTTTATAAGTGACCTATAATAATAGTTCCGAAATTTATATATCCTTTCGAAAATAATTTTCTATTCCTAATTTTTTGCACTCCTTTATTCTGTAATTCCTTCCTTTCTTTCATTCATTGTGTCTGAGCTCTTAACTAACACACGTGGATGATACGCTGGTTTTATGATGCAGACGACACACGATCCTCGGGAGAGGAGAAAATCGGACGAGGACAACCTACCGTGGGACTGGCAGACCGCTGCTCTGGTCCTCGCGGTATGCGCCTGCATAGTATTCTTCCTGGTAGCAGGATGCTCGGCTCTCGTCTACGCGAGGCAATGGCGGCGAATGAAGAGGAATTTCGAGCCAGGTAAGTTTCAAGTATATTATAACATATGTAAAACATAGAGAGAACCTCTCCGAGGGATAAGACTTTAACCTTCGTTTCTCTTCGATCCTTTGGATATTCTCGAAAATTATAGACATATTCAAAAGAAGAAAACCTCTCCGAAATTTAAAAAAAAGTTAAAATTATGATCTACAAAATTTAATATTTCTTTCATTCAAAATCAAGAATGAGGAGATATTCTAAGCTCTAAAATATCCAAAAAAGCAATTCATTAACGTAAAAAAATTGCTGCTTAATAGAATTAATAGAATTATTGATAAAATCCCTCCCTTCTGAAAAAGAATTTTGGATACGCCTATGTTAAGAATTCTGACGAATGTAAACTTCCATTGAAAATTCACTTTTGACGATTTGATGTCGCCATTAATTTTTAAATGTGCACATAACTATTTATCGACGTCGCGTCACGTAATTCACATAATCGAAATAATCGAAGTGCCGATCTCTATGCGTCTGCGATATTTTCTTCCGGAGAAGAGAGCAAGGGAGAGGATCCGTATCTCACTAGGCAAAGGGACCGCGTTGTCAGGAAAGAAAGGCGGCGGAAAGAATACAGGTGCACACACACACACACACACACACACACGCGCGCGCGCGCGCGCGCGCGCGCGAGCGGCAAGGGAGACACAAGTAGAGAAACAAGAAGTGAGAGAAAGAACGACAAAGTCCCTTAAAATGCACGACGGGATTTTCTTCATTAGAGGGCCGATCACGGTTACTCCTCACCTTGGATCGACCTACCGCGCCCGGATATGACGTCCCCAACGTTCAGCGTATATCGTCGCCCACGCTGTCGTCGTCATCGTTCCGCGTCCGCTACACCCCGAAATATAAGCAACAATGTTGCTTGGGTACGAGTCGATTAACGGTAACAACGAGCTAATTCTCCGCAGGCTATTTTTGAATGGAATCGACGCGTCGCATAACTCTCTTTTTTTTTTTTGTCATTGTTCAACAAACGATTGATATTCTTAAACGGTTTTATATTCAAATCAAACTCATAAATTTTAAACGATGCAAAGTCACGAGTAGATTACATGCATAAATGTATCTATCGCGAGATTCATACTGGGCAGAAAGAGCGAGAGAGAAGAGACGACTCGTTTCATTCATAATTCCATTCATAATTCATTCTCGATAGAAAAAAACTGGGAATAAAATTAACATCTCAGTTTTGGCTTATTTCATAATTTTCTATAATTTCAATATTTCGTACATTCAAAAGAAATCTCTCAAATTGATAGTATTAAAATAAACATAAAAAATAAGCATGAACAATAAACAACTATATGTGCAGCTTTATAAATTTTATTCTGGAACCTGAATGCAATATTCTTATAAATACATTTGCTTCTTAGAAATATATAAGTTAGAAATTTTAGTATCTATCTAGTATTAAAGCTTAATTTAAATTAACAAGATATAAATTAAAAAATTATACTTTAATTTTAAATAAAAATTTAGTAAATATAAATTTAAATTAATTTAAATCAATTTCAAAATAGTCTCGTCGAGCTTCGAGAATTCTTGGCTGCTGAAGCTGCGAAGCAGCTCTTTTTTGGCGGACGCCGCCAATATAATTCGTACATTTATATCGGCTCTTGTGAGGAGCGAATCGAAATCACGTAACGACTCTCGTAGACTTTCGACGGCACGCTGCACGTGTGTACTATCTGCATTTGCATAACGAGCAGTACGCAGAACTTCTCCTCGCAGGAACCTCCCCCGTCCTCGCTTCGCTTCTCTTTCCTCCCCGTTCTCCTTCTCCATCTCTCTTTGCCTCTCTTCATCATCCTCTGCGAGTCGACGTATCGCGCCACGTATCGCGTGTACGTTTGTGGGAACCGATTCAGCCACGTTTCGTTAATGAACGCCGTATGAATGAAGCCTCTCGTCCGTCCGGCGGGTGTGCGCGCGTGTATCGCCTTTTAAATCTACACTTTCGGCGAAACGCATGCCGCACGTCGCAACGACGGCGCTCGACAACGCGAAAAATACTCACGGACAAATCGTACGTTGCTTTAGATCAATCTCGTAATATATTCGTGACACCATTACGTATATTCCCTTAATAATTTCATTTATAAATCTTTTCATATAAATCTGCCATATTTATTCTGACATTGTGTTGCCTCGTTGATAAATTTGAACGCCTTAAAATATCTGTCTTGATACAACATGCTTCAAATTAAACTTCGAATTTAAGAGCTCATTATTTATTTTGATGAGAGGTAATTCTTTAGCAGAAGATTGTTTATATTTTAAACAAAATGAATGGCACGTGTTTGAAAGTGTCGAAATTATAACGAGATTCGGAAATCGCGGATAAAAACTTCAGCAGAGAATATGTAATGTCCAACTGAGATCCAACTGATATCTGATTTAAGAATAAAATTAACACAAAAAAATTGAGATTTTACAAAATAAATCTCGAAATATTTTCGTTTCGCACTCGTAGAGACGTCCTCATATATAAAAATAACATTTCGAGAACTACCTCGAGCGTGTTGCACGCGAAATCCGTTGAATTTTATTGCAATCGCAATCCCATTAATATTTATTGCTTGCGAATTATGTACATATTTAATTAATACTAATTATACACGTGGTATAATCGCGCGCGTCCGTCCGCGCATGCGAGCGATTTATACTGTATAGTATTAATAAAAACAGTTGCAGTTGCTGTATCCTACCTGTAACTTTGATCGCAACTTTGTAATATATATCATCGCATTATCGCCGGAAGCTCGTATTATCAAAGCGGGTCGCGATCGCTCTCGTCGTTCTCGTCATCCTCTCCAAACAATGACGCGAAAAAGCATATTCATTCTTTTTTTTTTTTCTATTTTTCGTTCACTTCTGCATTTCGTGCAGTATTTACAGATGAGATCTTCAGACTCCTATAATTCTATCATAATTAGACAAATTAATTGACAAATATAATCGATAAAAGTGAAAGGAACTTTTCCTCGAAAAAATTTGACGTAATACGAACAGTTTGTCCATTTCGTTTAACAGCATATCGGTTTTGAATGCTGCCCGTAACAAAATGTTATTCTAATTAATTCTATTTTTAATCTAATAAAATCTTGAGATTTATATTTATAATTTTATTTTCAACTTTTAATATAAAATATAATTTTATAAAATATGACAAGAAGAGAATAACATATTCTAATTAAAATTTGGAAAAAAATTGAATATAAATTTCGGCACGCAAGTTTCACTTCTTTTATATATATATAAAAAAAATATATATATATAATTTATACATATATAAAATAATAATATATAATAATAG